GCAATAGGAACTCTTCCTGGATACTTTTCTATGGCAGTGCGTTTAAAAATTAAACTGATATATCCTTCTCTTTCTAGGTTACAATTTCCATTTCACTAGTCTGATGACATGCTTGCAAAATCATTATCAAACTGATTTGTAGTATTGTTCTCATATTTGTAAGAATTCCTTAGTGCATCAGTGACATGGCATTTGGAAAGAGAATGGTCCTGTCTCACAGCACTTGTGAGTTGAGGCTTGTGCGGCAGCAACTGTGAGACTTGCACTACAGTAGCTCTTGGTGTCTAGTATTTTTAGTCCATGTAACAATTCAGGAAGCACATCTTGTTACTATCTTTCTCACAGGCTGAAAAAAATTGAAGCTCTGAGAGACAAAATAGCTTAAACTAGATCTAGCTAGTTAGGAGCAATGTTGAAGTTGCAAATCTAATTTCTCTGCCCCAAAGCTCTATATTGTTTTTTGTATTCTACCACCCAGTACAGATGGTGGATTATTCTTCTATGTAGGGAAGAAGAAGCATAGGGAAGGTAATACTTATGAAATATTTATTAGGTGCCATCAATAACATTTCTGACTTGCGAATCTGCTGAAGGTTTTGGAATGTCACCCCCTCCTGGCTTCCCCACAGTCCCTCCTTGTGTCTTCCTGTCTGTTTCCCTGGTGTCTGATGTATTTCCAACACAGGGCTTCTGTCTGCTTGGGTTGAGGCATGCACGACTTTTTATGTCAGTAACCCTGATTTTCCTTTTTAAAATTAAAAAAAGTCCTAACACTTTCTACAGGGAGCATAACATTTTACATTTCTACTTGGAACATTTTGTTATAGGCAGATAAATTAGATAGAAATATTACAGTCAGTCAGACAGGGCCAGGCCCTCAAGGAGACAACATGGAAAACAAGATGACTTTGCAACTTTGTAAGAGACAGCCACTCCTGTGGGCCACACCTCAACACAGAAGAGAAAACTAAGGCAGCCAAATACTTCACTAGAGATGGGCATCAGGGATTGATTTTCTAAACAGGTATGAATCACCTTGAAAGAGCCCTAATGAGGCACTAACCCAACCCCCAACAGGATCTGACCTTGTTCTGT